TTTCATCAAACCAAAGACAAACCAGACTGAAAATATACAGAAGCATCTCTTGATATTTTTTTCCCCCAGAAAACTAGGAAAGATTCTGTGTTTAGGGTTCCGGGAAGCCTGTCGCCACTGAAAACCGGAGAAGATGATCGGAGTCGGGAAAATGAAGCAGTACTCCAACGTCCTTGACAAGCCCCTTAGCAAAGGCAAACAAGAGGTAATTTTGCTCGCTTCGTAAGATCCACTTTGCTCAGAAAATCTCCTCTTAGAAAAATTTGACACTGAATTGAGTATGGAAATTGAGAACATTCTCTCGATTTGGATCAGGATCTAATAGTTGTGGAAGGGGGATTCGATTTGAATCTCTCGGCTTTCGATCTTCTTCTTTGATCTCTTTACTGTGATCATTCGATTCCGAGATTCTGCTGAAAGGTTTAGTCGATTTGAAATTGTACGTGTGTTGCAGGTGAGCTTGACCGCATTTGCTTTCTTATTCTCGGAGCTCGTTCAGTACAATCAAACCCAGGTTGACAATATTGCTGAACTTGAAAGAAGGTGAGCTGATTTGATTGGTTTCCAAGTATAACATAAGATTTTATCTTCGTAATCTTAATCATTCACATTCCAACAATAAGTTTTCTTGTTGACAATGGTGGATCTCAGACTAGAGGATGCTGGGTATGCAGTTGGATCTCGAGTTCTGGAGCTTCTTTGCAACCGGGAGAAGGTATGTGTTGTTTGAAAGACTGAGAATAGACGACGTTTCTTTTCTTCTAATTTTTGTTCATGGAAGAGCAGTGCAAAGTTCTGTCAGGAGTCTCTTTGTGTTTAATGGATTGATATATCGTCTCATTGTTTCAGGGAAACCGAAGAGAGACAAGGTTGCTAGGAATCCTGTCTTTCGTCCACAGCACCGTGTGGAAGGTGTTATTTGGAAAGGTGAGGTGTTATTTCAGAATGAATTAGTTGTTGAGTCTTTTCTATGGAAATCAGCTGCATCTCTGTTCCTCGATCTTAACTTTCCGTATCAAACATGACATAGGTCGCTGATTCACTTGAAAAAG